GAGTCATACTAAGTAATGATCTCAAAACAACCATTCACTGTAAGGCTGCTACTGCAAAAGGCTATAAGGTATTATGGTCTTTTCGTAGATCTTTCCGGTATCTGGATGGGGAAATGTTTAGATTGTTATACCCAACTTTCGTACGGCCAAATTTGGAATATTGGACTCAAGCAGCGAGTCCTTGTTTCAAATATGAGGCGGATATGTTGGAACGAGTCCAACGCCGCGGGACAAAAATGGTAAAAGGCTTATCTGGCCTATCTTATGAAGACAGACTGAGACACCTCAACCTATTTCCGTTATCTTACCGGCGAATACGGGGTGATCTGATATTGGCATATCGTATCCTGAACGATGTCCTTGGTACTAACATGTCCTATCATTTCCTCCCGTCTAGGGCTGGTCATTTGAGAGGACATTCAAAGAAAGTCCAAAAACCTAGATCGAATCGTCTACGTCTGGAGTTTCGTTTCTCACATCGAGTAGTGAATTACTGGAATTCTCTACCAGAACACGTAATATCAGCACCTTCTGTTGATATATTCAAGACGAGACTGGACCTCCACAGTATAACAAACTGCAAAAATTAAAATGGGTCACTAGACCTCCTTTCCTTATTACTGAAGACTGAAGATTAAATAGGACACAGTCAATAAATACTTAGGAAGGGAAAATACGGGATGCCAGCACAGTGACTCATATATAAGGATTAAACTGCACATTCTTAGTACAGAAGGGGGGCTTTCTCAAAATAGTTTTATACATTACTCCTCAAGTTAAATTTACGCAGGACTTGTTCCTCTTCTCCCAGCACATTTACCACCAAATTCTACTCAAAATATTTAACATAACGATTTGGATTGGCATCCGAATAACATTTGTGAGCTTCTAGATGAATGTAAACAAAAGCGTTTATAATACATCTTAGATTCCATGGTCTAGTGTACTAAATACGTTATACACCTACGATGGACGCCCTTGCTGCTTTTAAGACAAGTTCAAGGAGTCAAAGGTTCTTAAGCAGTCAGTCTTATTCTCAAAAATATTACAAAACACCATATATACAGTATGTGAAAGTGTTTATTAGTCACGAATATAAATCAACAAATTTGCAGAACAGTAAATCATTTGATCGATAGGTTTTTAAAAGGCTTGATACTAACAGTAAAATACAAGGTGTGATACCTCATAATGTGTCAACGAAATTATCTGTGAAAACAAACTCACGAAGTGTGGCCAGCTATTTCGTCCGGCCGTAAGTGTGTCAATCACAAAGTTGAATCCATAGTTCTTTTTAGACTTCATATGAGTACCCTTACACTAAAAAATTCTGTCTGATGTTATTGTGTCAGATGTTGTTTGCCAAATGTAATTACATGGAGTACAATATACTTTTTCAGTGAGAATCTGCTTGTTAGTTATAGATCTCGACATTTTGTATGGTAGTTGGTAAATACTTAAAAGTTTTGTAACTATCTTATGTTGACTACCAGAATGACACTTTACGTAATAAAACAAACATAAGTTGCATTTTGTGTTACCAGGAGCGGTGCTGTTAGATAATATATAAGTTATTGATTACACTGTTCCATACTTCCAAACTGCTGTGGAATCCGTATGTTGGTAACTATTATCACCGAGGTTAAGTTTACATGTCCTGGTACTTTTATACTAAGTAGCCTACTGACCGCCTTCATGTAACTGAAACACTACTGGGCAAACACTACGTCGTGTAACAAGAATCAGGCAGTCTTTGAAGTTGGTTTTACAGAAAACGGCATGTTTGAAACTTTATAGTTTGTAAGCCGCATATTATAAATAGTTTTTATCCCGTGGGTAAAGGAAGTTATATTTTGAGGCATTAATGATCATGTTGTATAAGGAGACAGATTTACAGCTTTTCGTGTCAATCTCAATATCCCATTTTAAGAAATCGTTATCAATGTAGGACATGAGACAAATGTTCATTAGCCTAAGTTCTCATTCCAAATTATGTCAACTAAATTAATTTATCAAAAGTAGTTAAATGGTTGAAGCAATAGTGGTATCAATTATATGATGTTTACTTTGGGAGTTTATGTTTCATGGCCATTAGGTAGAGAACAGTACAGTGAACTGTTACCTAGAAAAACTCATGAATCCATTGTTGCACAAGGTGTTCAGGATACTCCATATAATTTCAGGGACTTTAAAAACAGAACCTTAATGTCTGCATATTTTAAATCAGTAAGTAAATCTTCTTGTAGATCATCCCCCAAAACAGCAGAAAGTTATATTATCTCTGTGAAAAAGTAAATTAATTATCCATCCCTACCAATTGTCACTGACTTTTCCATCTATTTTTTCTTCATCGACCTCTACTGCTCGACACTCATATACAGATTGTTGTCGGGAGCTATTCAAGCTGTCTTTAGCCTTTATTTTGCTGGAAGCGTGATAGAGCAGGTGTACGAACATATATTAATTCAGTTAATGTTTTTGAGGTCCACTAATTTTCAAGACCTTGTGATTTATTCTGACGATAGATGACACTACTGATCTCACATATGTTTGTGTCTCATACCAAGCTACATCAGACTGGACGTCATCTTAGCAACTGACTACGTGGTCCTCTAGTTGTTTTTGGAACATACTCTTTGGTCTTCCATCATTTTCTGAGCTGTAAGAAATCTTCTTTTTGTGACGCTTCTGCCTCCAATGAAAATCAATGAGGTACTTGCTTTCGTCAGAGCTTGATTGTGGTCTATATACGTGCTCCAAGAGAGGCAGTAATGTTCAATTTTACTTCTTCAATGGCAAATAATAGCCATATGTCCTTTTCGTTTCCATATTTGTAATTATGTCTTTTCTTATGTCTAACGTTAGAATTTACTAGAAATAAACTGTTGTCTGAGCGTATTTTCAGACATGCAGTTCCACGAACCGGGGCATTGAAAAACCTGTCTACGTTTCATTAAGACTACCTCAGTCTACTTACTCACGTGTCAAAATTATCGCCAGTGATTACTGCACCTGAGTGTTCTGGTGGAAATCAGAAAGCCTTCTATATAACTCATCTACGTCATCCGGACTACAGACAGTAGGTGTGTAGGCAGGAACAATGATGAAACAGTGGCGTGTATACTTTTCTTTGGGAGATCTTACTAGACCATTTATTCTGGTTTCAGGTAGGCAATTGTCGACAGGATTCCGTTCAGGAAACACTTGTTCAAACTGAGTGCTATATCTATGCCGACGAGTCCCGCATGTTATACATGTACGTTATATATATATATATATATATACACCACAACCATACAGCGTATTGCCTCTTAAAACTAACGTAAAGAATTTGAGTGCATTCTGAACATCCTTCTTCTTCTTTTGTAGGTTTTAAGAATCATGACTTTAGATATAAATTATTGCACTAATTTCAAACGATGTATGGTTGAATACGAGATTGCGCGTTAATCGAATTTGTCACACTTTTAATGACCACAGTGGGACAAGCTCAATAAGATAAGAGTTAAATACATATTAATAGTGACACTGAAAATGTAAACACATAAGATATGGTTTTAAAGGAATAAATAAACTCAGGAAGTTGATAGTAAGAGGTAATATTAAAACCTTACACTTGTTAAAGGATAAATTAAATAACTCGCCTCAACTGAAACGAATTCCACGGCATCTTCAATCTGTTTCAGCTTCAGGTCAAGAAACAAGACTTTTAGGGACTAAAACAGTATCTTTATCCAGCCATTTATGGTACTTTTCCCCTCTACTCGTATGTCAGCTAGTTAAACATACCAATGTTCTGAACACTTGTGTTCCACTACACTCAAGAATTATCTGCTTTTTGGCTCTTGAAAAGTCCCTAGTATTATAAATTCATATATTTATGGCAATTAAAAAATATAACACCGATTGTCAACTTTAATGGCAATGTAAACACACTTTGTAGCACTACAGATTAAAAAACATTTTATGATTTCATATATTTCTTAGACTTCATCTGTTTAGTACCTGTCCTAATTGGAATACCACCTTTACGATTTTTCCGCTCTCAAACATTATGTTGAAAACAAGTTTTGGCACAATTTACTGCTCAGTGAAAATGTTTTAAGGCAACTGAGTACAAGCATATTTATTTTACAACGTCTTGAATGTCTCAGACTGTCAAGTCTTTATTATGACTTGAAACTAACGAGTTTAGCTCATGAGCTTATTTATAAAAACTACATTGTTCAAAATATACTTTTTGCCAAAGTTATTGCTTTCGGTACAGAATATTAATTACGACTACATCATTGCTAGATATTATATTGTGAAAATATTCATTTGGAAGATTTACCATATTATATTTTAGAGTATGGTTAAGATGGGTAAATTTTATCAGTTGTATTGACAAATAAATTGTTTACTAGAGGACGTAAGTTGTACTTAGATAATGGTTAATGGCCTGAAACTTATAATGGTTTACTCTACAGGACTTTTTTTATTGCTGTTGTAAATAATTAAAATCCAATTTTTTAGTGGATAGTTCAAGGTTATTCGTAGAAAAACGTCTTGATATTAAATGATCTTTAGATATGAACTTATATTAGTTTTACTTACGTTAGGTCGGTGTTTATTGATTAACCGATTTAACTGTAAAACTTTTACTGTCAACTTTATCGACAAGCTATATATGCTTCCAGTGTACCGTTCTTTCCGTTCCTTCATCTTGAAGAGAAGTGACCATTTTAATTCATACAGTATCTTATGAGAAACATGTTTCCCTATTTTTTCTCCCGACCAAAAGTATGGCTTTAGCATTATATGATTAGAATTAAATCCATAGATCATTTTGAGAAGCTAAAAACATCATTCATTTAAACCGATTAGCCTTTAAGTTATTATTATAATTCTAGTGTCATTAAAGGACTATCTGATCATCCTTCTAAGTTATCCTAAGTAAGCTTCAACGATTTATAAAACGATTTGTAAAATCCCCTACTTTTTTCTGTCCGTAATTTTAGACAATCTACTTCTCCTGTTGTGATCAATAATTTCCATTTATTTTGACCTATGAGAATCACCTAAAAGTTTCCAGATTACAATTTTCAAATAAGACAAATGCCTAAGAAGAAAAAAGTTAAGTCCGGGAAAAATCGTGGCAAAAGATTGAAGACTTCTAGGAAAAAAAAGGTTTGTTAGTACTTTATGTATTAATTAGCATTGAAAGACAGTGCTAGAAGCTAAAATAGACAAATTTTGTGCAGATGAAGAAAAGTACGCCGACTTTTTAAAGCGTTCAAATTTGTGGATAAAATGTCATGCAGAGCAAATAAAAAGTCTTCTTCATTTAACAGCCCACTACTCAGATTTCAACTTTACTTATGATGATTTTAAAGCTGGTTTGTTTGTGTATTATTATCTTTTAAATTGTATTATGTTAAACAGCTGTGTTATCATTGAACTGCCCATTTACAAAGTTTGAAATCGATGTAATTACAAGATTGCTTGATAAAAATAAGAATGGTTTTATTGAATATCAGGATTTAACATGCAGTTTAACAAAATTAAGGTAGGTTGGCTCCTTGAAAATTTTAATATACTTTATTTGGGAAACTTTTATGGTTTTCTCGTTTACGTAAGTTGTCTATAATACTTTGGGATCTACGACAATCTATGTACCGCAATGGTACTTTTTAATCTACATTCAAGCTGACATAGTGTACAGGACAAAACGAAAGTCCTAGTTCTTACCTAATTACTTACGCCTGATACTCCACGTGGAGGAGCATAGGCCTCCCACCAACATTCTCCATCGAACTCTGATCTGGGCAGTCCTTTCCGTTTGCTTTTTTTTCATGTCTACTTCCAATTCCTGAAGCAATGTCTTCTTTGGTCTTCCTCTCTTCCTTTTGCCTTCAGAATTTCAAGTTAGGGCTTTCCACGTGACTCAGTTTGATTTCCATAATGTATGTCCAATCCACTTCGAACGTCTTTTCCTAATTTCCTCATCTGGAAACTGGTTTGTTCTCTCCCACAGTAGGCTGTTGCTCATAGTATCCAGCTAACGGATATTGAGTGTCTTGTGTAGACAATTGTTTATAAATACTTGTACTCTTTCGACGGTGGTTGTGGTAGGTCTTGAAGTTTCAGCTCCATGCAGTAGAACTGTCTTGACGTTCGTATTGAGGATCCTGACGTTGATATTGGTTGATAGTTGTTTTGAATCCCATGTGTTCTTCGACTGTAGGAATGCTTCCCTTGTTTTGCCAATCCTTACCTTTACGTCTGCATCAGATCCTCCTTGTACACCGATGATGTTGTCCAGGTACGTGAAAGTTTCGGAATCTTCCAGAGTTTCTCCATCAAGTGTGGTTGCGTTAATGTTGTATTTGAGGATCTTGCTTTTTCTCTAGTGAATGTTGAAGCCTACCTCTGCACAGGCTGTCGCCACACTGGCTGTCTCCACCTTTTTTGTGTATGGGATGGAAGAACTAGGTCATCTAGTTGATTCCGAGCTGTCCATTGTATTCTGTGCTGACCCTCAGATGTGGAGGTCTTCATGATCTAATCAATCACCAAAAGAAAGATAAAAGGGGAGAGTAAGTAGCCTTGTTAATTAAGTTTCTAATTTAAACTGAGCCTTTAAAAAACCATTTTTAGGTTTCATAAATAACAGTTCTATAAAGCTTTACCACCAATTATTTTCCAAACTTCATGAATGTAAACAACGAGCTATCATCTGAAAACCTAATAGTTTGTAGATTTTTTAACTTATGTTTGAGGCTGACCTCTGTATATTTTTGTATATAGATTTCTACAAATTGATCATGCATTAAAACCTTACTATATATATACATTAAATATTGGCTGTGTGCTTGTCCATTTAAATCAACATATGATTGATCCATTGAATATCATCACTTAACATATTTATCACGTTTATTCCAATGAACAATAAGTTTCAACATACACAGGTATAAGAACACGCTAAAAGTTGCTAGGATATATTCAACCAATACAGAGTAAATATCAAAACGGTATTGTATTAACGTATCTTTATTTGATATCAGTGTTATACAATATAAAATTGGTTCATTCTTTATTCTATTTTCTCTTCTTCAATTTGCATAACAAAAGTTGTATTACAATAGTTCCAGATAAAGTTATTTATTTCCATTGTGTATAGATTGGTTTCTATGGTTAAAAAAAGTATTTCACTGATGACTGAGTAGTTTAATATATCTGGTTTAGATAATTATTAATTTCATGGAAAATGAAAATTTCTTCATATTCAATAATGGTCTTTATATAATAACAAATTGTCATTTGTCCTGTTTTCAAATTAATCAACTAAGAATATTTGCATGCATACTGTAGTGAACAGAACACTAGTTGGGGACAATCGAATGTATTTAAGCAAAGATTACAGACTATCTCAATAAATTCTGATTACCAAACAACGAACAGTCAATTTGCAAATTAACAACCAATTGTTTCAATCTTCACTGTTTCTTCTCTTATTCCATTGCTCATGCATTTTCCAGACGTTTGCGTTTCATTTCAGTTCTTTCTTCATCGGTCTTCTGCCAAAATACATTTCATGTCTGACCCACACCATATACTACTTATATGGATATAAGTAGACCACACCACAATACTCGTTAAATAGGTCGATAACCAAGTTGTGGTTTTATGGCCTAGAAAATAAAATTTTGCCAAATAAACCCATGAATGTAAATAAATAATATATTTTGTAATATCCCAATGAGTAGAAAAATTAGATTTTCTAACGTTTCGTTACTCAGTGTAAGCCACTTCATTAGAGAATAAATAACCAAATTAACATTAATCCAAGTTTAAATAGTACAACGGAACAATCAAAGAATATTAGGTGATCAATCAAAAACAGGTCCGAATAAATCAATGTCATATCATTTCGGTAATAGTGATTCATTAGCGACATGTATGTAAATTTGTGTGTGTGTGCACTGTTAAGAATGAAAAATATGTGATATTTATAATGACAAAGGATAGAGTTTAATTTGTAAGGTAATGGTGTGAATTATGAATAGTGTCAGACTCAGTGACTAGGATAGATAGTCCAAGTAGGATGTATAGTAAGTCCTTCCTTTCTATTGAGAGCAGCAAGAACTCTTCAGCTACTCTCCTTTCTTTGTAATTGGAAAAACCTTTCTGTAGTATTTTGATATTTTTGAAATCGATTTGATGATTGTTGAAAATGGAGTGAACTGTTGTTGCCGATTTAATTTGAAGTCTATTCAGTTCTACAGGATTATTAAGAGGTTTCTTTGTGTACCTAATATGTTCTTTGACACGAGTCAAGGTTTCGCTAGATGACTCTCCAACATAGAAGGCATCACAATCGACACAACCTAATTTGTAGACGCAGTTCTGTGTAGACATGAATGGGATTTTTTCATTTAATCGAACTAAAGTATTCCGAAGTGTATTCGTTGTTTTGTAATATCCTTTAATTCTGTGTTGTTTTAAAATCCTTTGGAGTTCTTATGTTGTGCCATGACGGCATGGTAAAACTGCATTACCAATCCATGGTGTTTCATTCTAATTATTATTATTACGTACTCAACTGTCTTGTTTTAATATACTTCTAATAATCTTCATAGGAAAATTATTAAATTGTGAGATACTAATTACATTCTTTTGTTCTTTTTGTTTGTCCTCTTCTTGTTAGCTCTTTTAAAAAGATTTAAGGCTAATGAGATCTGACTATAATTTTAATTTCATATTTATACAGATCTAATTATAAATAAATGACACTGTATGCAATTTTTATTTTCATACTCCTTAATTGAAAACATAGTGAACGTTTTACACAACGAAGTATTGTTGAGTAATAAAATTTAACTTTTGTATATGGTTTTTCTGTTTTTTCTTTCATTCGATAGTCTTGAAGATGGAACTCTAAAAGGATTGAATATTGAAAGAATAGCAAAATCAGATAGAGGGTTTGTTAACTTTCATGACAAATATAACTTAATTTTAACAAAAAAATATATTTCAATATACAATTATTATTCATCTACGGTTGTCAGTAGTTTTTCTTTTTAATGACTATCTAGTACCTTAGGAATGACAGTCTTTAAAGGCAATAATCTTACATGAAATTGTAATTGTTAAAGTGTTATGAGTATAGTATAGGGATAAGCTTGAATTAACTGCGAAAAATTTTCTACCAGTTCTTAGTCAATCAGCAAAACTCTTGCAAATGAATGGATTTTAGAAGAGGAAGTAACCATTGTACAATGTGTAAACAGATTTTACATAATTAATGAGTTTATCAAAGTCGCGTCCGTGAATAAAAAACGACCTGTGAATTCGTCTAAATGGAAATAAACTACCATTTTCTTTGAACCTAATAAAAAACAAGTAGATTTCTAAAAGGCTCTACATTGTCTCTGGTTAGGTTAAAACAAGGGGATTGTGGTTGTGGTTTACGTCACCATCTAATATCAGCTATAATGTGAAAATCCACTGTTGTCATATTGATGAATGGATTTCATCAAAAAATTTAAGAGAGATTGTCTGATTAGTTCGTTCATGAAATATGATGCCAACAAATTAAGGATTTGTGGTTGTGATTTATAGGTAGTACCTAATTACCTCCTATATACAAGTTACAGAGGAAGAAATGGGAATCCAATACGTTAAGTATTATCCTTTTGTTTCTACACGGTAAGAGGGAACATTTTTTCATCATTTTAAACTTTCTAAGCACTAGACAAATATATTTCTACTGTTCGTTGTATGTGATGCTTGAATTTCGCGCTAAGACCAAAAGTTCGCGTTCTCGATTCTAATTGCCTCATCCCTGTACTATACTTTTGCCACCGGATCAGTTACGGCATATATTCAAGCTATAATCGTACCAAGTTTATTAATCATTAGATAAAACCACCCTAACGGTTGAAGCCTGATCGAACTGTTTTTAAATCAATTAAGGCTTTTGATACTTTCAAGAACTCACAACTGTCAGGTTAAGTTATATATGGCCGACCATTTTATATGAGTAGGTGATTCCTTACCATTGACTGTTAACAATAATGAGTTGATACTTACATATTATGTTGGATTACATGAAATGGTTTGAAAATGGTGATATATATATATATTAAATTACAGCGAATATTTTTACCAGTATATTGTACTATATCTTAATCCGATTTCGTTTTGATCTTCTGTTATTGGGCAAGAAGTTATGTCAGACGCTACAAATAAATGAAGCTAAATTTATTCAATATTCATGTCGTTACTTATCATTTATTTGACATCTAGTAGGATTATTACTTGTCTACTTACCAGCTACTGTTAGAACACTAATAATATAAAGTTTGACGAAATAACCACCATATGAAGCAAAGCACAACTATTCATCAAAGTATTTCCTGGCATAACATAATTTATATTCTTTCTGTAAGATATAACTCATATCTGTATTTATTGAAATTATAATTTTTAGGTCGGTTATTTGCAAGTTCAATTGCTTAAATTGTATGAATATTCATGAAAGTCCATTGCATTTTGAACAATTGGTTCCATTAAATACATTCACTGAAGGTCTGGTAAACATTATTCGGTGAGTTTCAAAAAATTAATCGCAAGCTAGTTAGACATTAGTAAAAATATATCTATAAGACGAAACGGCCGTCCAGTGCTTCCAGGTTTTCCTTGGCGTTCTAGCTTCAATTGACTCATGCTTTCAACAATGAAAATATATATATTTACAAGTACTTTTGAGTTTTGTTAAAATAAATACTTAAATATTTGAAATTGTGGAGATTTTATGGGTAATGTTAGTATATTGCAAATTGACTGAGTTATATAGAATATTTGAATCTTAAGTAAGTAGGTTAGTGGCACTGTAATAGTAATGTCCACATCTATTCTTTATACGCGCAAAATAAGGAACCACTACAATCCCTATAACGTGAAGTAAGAGCACAAAAGATTGGTACAAGTGAAGATTTATTCACTCTGAAGACACGGCGACGGCATTCGGAATTAAACTCATTTATATATTGATTTATACACCAATTTGACCATTGATCAGAAAAAAGTCACATATATCAAAAATCCCAAAATTATGATAAAATCGCGTGTTCCATGTCACACTGAACATAGTTCACATTAATGCGATTCAAATAATATTGTATCTTGCATAATTATCTCACTAAGTAACTCAGTGTTATACCAAGCAAAGTATTACACTGAAAATAAAACAATTATTACACTGAGTAGTCATGTTGAAATAGAGTTGTTCATGAAAAATGCCTTGATTAAAATCTATCATTGGAATATTTACAGTGCTTCCTACCGTACCAAACACAGATTTCGCCAACGCTTTAGTTTACCTCTCGTAAATAGCAGGCTTTCGATATATCATTTACTATTTGTTAGGCAACACCAAGTTTGAATTCAATTGAGAGCTTGATTTTTTATCCCTATAACCGTTACATCTCGATATTTGAGGTCCAGTACGAGCCTACAATACCTGCAGAGTTAGGAATGATCGAGTCACTCTAATATGACTGGTTTTATTGCATAAATCGATAACAGCAACTAACACACAAAACATCATATAACTTCATTTAATAGTAACAAAATCATAACCTTCAAATATACACAAATTTAACAAACTTAAAGCAATGACAACCGATTAGGAGACGCCAAAAGTCATGTACAAAATTTTGTGAGGAAACATTTTAACATTGTTAACAAAATTTAAGTAATTTTGTGATCACCTTAGCAATAGCATATAGCTTGCAACATTCGGTCAGTAAACATAGATAGATTACTAGATGAATGGTCCTCCCTAAATAATAAGGCGATTTTCAATCATCGATCACTGTGCACCTCTGCTTATTTGTGAGACGATATTAGTATTTGAAGTTTTAGGTAAGCTTACAACAATGAGGGCTTACTTTTAATCTAAATTCAATGATGTATCTATTCTCTTTTCATTGTTGTAGTGATAATATTTGGAGGATTTTTAAAATGAAGCTATTTTATGTTTATTTTTTCATTCTTTCAGTCATAAAACGTTATTATGGTTACCGAAGATTTCAATCTTTTTAAGTGTGAATGCCGAGTCTGAAAGTGAGCTACTACCAGAATTAATGTTAAGTGATTATGATATAAAAAGTGGTGCAAAATATGATGCGCCAAAATTGGATTTGTTCTATAAACCTACTGGACAAATATTATCGAGTGATCATTATACTGTCGAATTATTTGATACAGTTGAAACTCTACAGTCTGATCCTGTTTTATGGTCTAAACTTGTGACAGAAAACATCAAATTTCAAGAAACTTCGTCACACAATGTTCAACTACTTGCTAATATAGATAGTAGTATAAATCCTTTCACGTGAAGTTACCTTCAATCTGTAAACAGTCCTTGTAAATACTAATTGATGTTAGATTTATTTTTAAACAATTCTGACAGATGTTTGTATTTTTCCAATCTGTTCTTATCTTACCAGTATTATAATTTACCAGAAAAAGGAATTTATTTTAGTAGTTATGGCTTAGAAGTTTTGTTTTTTGTGAACCTTTGAACATTTAACGACATCTTTTAAAAAAAATTTTTCTTTGTTGATTAATAATTAGTTAAATTTCTATTTGATTTGACTTGTTTGTAAACCCTAATGAATCTGACTTTATATTTTTTCTCACAATCTTTGTTTCGCAATCTCTAACGAATGGTAGATCAATAGTTTCTGGCATATCAAATAGTTTGAAAACCTATCCAGATTGTACACTAATGTGGACAGATTCGATAAGATAAACCTTTTATCTTAAATGTTTCACAACAATGATGTTTCTAAATATTATAACATTTGGCTTTCAACATTTAATTTTTCAACGTAATCGATATTTTTGGGAGCAATTTCATGGATTTTCTGGTTAAGTTTAATTTTTTTTAACTAATGGACTGCAAGAGAGTGATAAACAGCTTTAAAAAGGGGCTAAATCTCCGATTCATTTAAAAATATAGTTGTAATATCGGTGGTGATACAGACTATCGTTTTGTAGTCACGTTAAAGTTCGTTATGAGAATAGTTAAAGTGTTTAAATATTACAATTCCGTTTATAAATTAAGTAAGTAGTTAAGTAACCTCTTAATTATCAAATTCTTTCTGATAAACGGATCCAATCATCAATAAGTGAATAGTTATGAACGTGATAGACTCTAGATGTTGTATTCTACATTAAAGTTATGAAAAATTAGGCTTAATCATATAAGAACATTTATAATTCGTGAATAACTGGTTTTTTATGAAAAGAAACGATGCTAGCAACCAACATCATTTCAAAACTGTTGAATCGATTTTCTTTCTCTTTCTTCCAAAATGAGTTTGCTTCATTTCTGTAATAGATGCCAACCAATATTATTTCATATATATTGCATGTTATAAAAATGGATTATTTTACATAGATTATCAATAAATAAATACCTGCTGTGTAATGTAAGTGTAATTGAAGTGAACAAGATGAATGCCCACATGTCAGTTGGTTAAACGAAGAGAAAAAAAAAGAAATCTTTGTCACAGTTTAAGTATTCTATATTTTAAATATATAAAATAATTTCAGTTGAAGAAAAGTAAGAATGACAAATCTTTAATACTAAAACATCTATCATAAGCAGTTCAGTGGGCCTAGGAAATCTAATGGATTACTTTAATCTCAATGTTGTATATTTTATTGTTATTTGTATGATATCGTGGAATTATATATGGTACACAAAATTATCAAAAAATAAGAAGCAGACAGGTAATCTGATCAATAGATAAGGGAATAATAGACCCGAATAATATATATTCCGTCATGCAATTTTTTGTAAAAACAAAACTGACTGGGTTTTTTTCATATTAGAACATGAATTTTATTGTTCATGAAGAACACAGAAAGGAAACTTTAGCATGATAGATAATAGCTTCTTTCTTTAGCGTTGTTTAACAAGTCACTGAGATTTATAATCCTTGGACACCCATCTAGAGAGTTGTGGTGGACCAACAAACATACACCCGATAAAACCTACTTTCATATACAAGCGTATTGACTGTTTTCAAACTATCTTTGCTTAACATACAATCTCAGGGAGAAGTTCTGCAAAAAAAACCAAAGAAATCACTTCCCTGAAAGATCATAATGATATTTGTTTGAGATACGTGAGACAGCCTTTAAGTATTTCGTGGAGTATAATGACCTGAATGAAAACCGATTACCTCATTGTAACTTAATACTTCATGAGTTTTGCTCAATCTGTAAAACATGGCTGAAGCGATAATATGAAATGTGACTGTTAATAAACTCATAAATCAATAATTATCCAATAAATTACTCAGGTCCTCTCTATGTACGACAGTTTTATCCATACTAGAATAATGATAAAACGGTCAGTTCCTCATTTCTTCGTGAAAGATGCCAGTTAATTTCCCGCCTTTATCCGTGAGAGCGATCGGTGGTAAATAGTCTGTTTGAGTAACAGTTAGGCTTTACAAAATTGAACTTTTTTCGGATCATTAATTTACCCTTAGTTTTATTCACTAGTCTGTGTAAACAGTATTACTTTTTCTACCATATCATTGAATAATATACTGCAAATGTATTTAATGAATCATAAAACTTTTATTCACCTAAAATTCATAAGAGGAACCTTTCAGATTGTGCTGAGATACTTTAACCAGTGAATTTTTGAAGCAGATATTACACAATATAACATATTAGTTTTTATCTTCCAAGTCATGGAATATCTTACAAACATTTTTTGAGTTATTTTCGAAGACACCCGAAAGTTTTGAATTCAATTACCACTTTTTCACCAACATTTTGCTTTACTATTTATTCCTAGAAAGTGGAAAGCTCATTTAAGCCTAGAGTATTTATAAAATTATGATAAAAATTGACTACTTCATTAGCAGTAACCAGAATAGAGTGTTAAACTGAATTTTAACTTCTCAATAGAATTCCGTTGTACTTGAATATTAAAAGCTATTGAGTTTGTCTTAATTATAGGTGAAGATTCACTTTATCGTTATAAATGTTTAGAGGACAAACCAACTTCCAGCTAAAGAGGAAATTTGGAAAAGACGTTGGATGTGGATAGGACAAACATTAAGGAAATCACCAAACTGTATCACGAGGTAATCCTTAACTTGGAATGGTGAAGGGAAGCGGGAATGAGGAAGGTCAAAGAACACAATACTCTGGGAAATAGAAGCAGATATGAAAAGGATAAATGTTAACTGGAAAGGGTTGCCCAGGGCAGAGTTGGATGGAGAATGCTGGTGAGCGTCCTATGCTCCTCTACGAGGGGTAACAGGCGTAAGTAATTTTGAAATTGTATCGCTCATTATTACATAAAATTATTAATTATTATGACTTGATAATGATCTAGAGTGAAAGGTATAGATTTTTCCACAACCTATACTTGTCATTTCAATATGAAGTGTTGAATCAAAGAATCTATTTGTTCTTTCTATACTATTGATCATTATTTGACCCCTTACGGAACAAACTATTCATTACGTACTTATGTGTCCGGTTAATAAAACATCTAATTCTCTTATGAAATAAATTTGAATTTACACTTATCTATGGTCAAATCTCATAACAAACAGATTAGAACGGATTTGATTACGAATGGAAATTTCATATTTCAATTTATCGTAGTTTTCATGAAGATGTGATCAGTGTTACAAATCAATAATCAGAAATAGGTCAATAACTTAAAAAATATAAATGCAGAAATGGCAGTCATAGGAATTTATTTATTTAAACACAAAAATATTGGTACAAAGGAGCACCAGATACATATGCGCCACACAAATCTCATTTGATTTGTGTGAGGGCTGTGATATTGCCCAGGTGCCCAGACCGAAGCAGGTAGCTTTCTTAGGGGATCACACCCCGAGCCTTCGACCTCAATGTCTGATCCACAAGGCAGTGGAGCATCGTGAGGAGTGCGGTCCCATGATAGTCGGTGACCAATGATAGGTTCATACGGCATTTGTTCCCTCAGGATATTGAAGCCCATGTGCATCATTGGTTTGAGATCACGGTTTTTCAACTGCCCTAGGTGAACTTTCCGTGTCCATCAATCCGGTTAAAGAGCCGGACATTCGCTTTTCGTCCTCCCGATTTCGTAAACAACACCCCTTATGTGAGAAGGTAGTGAGTAGGACTTCCCTGGTAGGGGCTATATACGCGTGGTCCTGTGAGAGCATTTGGAGAGGGATAGTGGATTCTCCCCACTCTCGGTCGTACCAGGGCGTTTGGGGGCCAATGAAGTGTATAAGGTAATAATTCGTTAAAATATCTGATTCCTACATCTCAATAATATTCGATATGAATGAGAAATATACCGAATGTAAAAATTCCAAATATTAGTACAACATAATACAGATATCCATTGTTAAATCTATTTTGCTTTTTAATCATTTCGTTTAAGAAATATTATCATAAAAAGACTAATTTATTTAATGAATATTATCAACCAATAAAATATATTGAAGAGCTTTAAGAAACTAAAGTCATCATGAAGAATAGAACTAGCATCTTTATTTATTATTTCCAGTATACTACTGTTGTGACAAGTGGTGTCCAAAATCTGATACTGTTACATGGTGTGCAACACGCTAACTCCTCAACCGATTACTTGAGAGAAAACACAAATGTGAGCGAGAAAGTGTATTGAGCTACCGAACAAAAAGCGCAAATACTTCTTTTTATATATATACCACTTCAATCCTAAAGAAATCGATCTATTTCTTAACCAATAAAATGTGCTTGTCCTTTAGGTCACTTCTGATTGCCATCGATTGACCTTTTCATTAGGTTTATTCCGATCGGCTCTTCATATCAATCACAATATTAAATTATTTAGTAGTGTCAATACACTACATTACTTGTTTGACAATGTTATCATTAAGACTAAATTATGATAACAGATTCCATCCTTGATAAAACACATTGCTTCTACTAAAAACATTACATCTATGTTGACATAAAAATGTTCGAGATTTCTCGTTGTTGATATTAAGAACTATAATTAATCAATTTCTATGGTAATGTTCATTACAGGTATATTTTCTTGATAATGCAAATTTTAGTAAACAAAGAGATTATTCGTAGCAGTGAAACTCAGAAGATGTATTTCATATTATTTGATGCGAGAAAGCTAGACGTATATATATCGCAGTATTTTCCGTTACAAATACAGTTTTAGCAGCTACTCCATTATTACACATCTATGTGAATAATTCTAACTTTTGAACAAACAAATTGATCTAGTCTTTTTTGAATCATGTACAAATGTATTCGAACTTGTCAATTATTCACTTGTAATCTTGATAATTTTTACGTGGGCAGATGTGTACATATGTTTGTCAATCACTTTCTTTGGCTTGCTTTTATCTTTCTGACTTAAAATATTGATTCACTTTTAGTAAGACTGAGTAGACTATTTCTACCACTCCAGTTCATGTGCATTTTTATTCGTCTTCCATCTTTCCCCTATATTATTGAGTGTCTGAGATATACGTTCTTCAAATTCTTTCGTAATAGACTTTTCATACACACATTTTTATAAACGGTATTTGTCGACAGAATATATATGAAGTAACCAGGATATAGATTTTATTGACATCCATACCACTCGATTGCTATGGAGTCAACCACGGATATCAAGGTAGTGAGCCAAGGCTCAAAAGGGGGAGAATCTAACCTCTACAGTATAGTTATGACTTCATACGTGATGAACAAGTAACTTAATAATCGAGCTCATTAACTTAGTGGATAATGAGTTGACTTCTGAAGCAGAAGTTACTGGGTTCAAGTCACATTGTGAAGATCAATACTGAGATGCAGGTCCATTCAACCGATCACTCCGGAATGGGATGAAAAGAGTATCTTGGATTCCATAACTAGCAACTTGAACCGATCCATTTATGTTTCAGGATCTATGTTGCGTAAGAGTGATTGGCTAACACATGCTTCGTAACAGTTTTCACCAGCATCATTTACAATCTAATTGAAATTCATGTCCAAGACTACACCAAATAGTGGACACCAAATCGCATCTTTCG